CGCCGCCCGAGGCGGAGCCCGCCTGCGCAGCGACGCCCGCTGCCAGAGATGCCGGGCGCTGGGGCTCCGTTCGCCCGCCAGGCTTGTGCGCTTGAGCTGCCTGCTCGCGACTGGCGCTGCTCTGGCAGTGCGACAAGAAGGCTTTGACGAAGCTGCTGTTGCAAGCGACGAATGCCGGCGCGAGCTCTGCGAAGTCGTCGGCTCCAATGTCGCTCAGATCCGACATGTGTTTGAAGCCCGATTCTGTCAACGCAGCGATCAAGCCCGCGACGTGGTGCCCTGGCTCTGCCTGCGCCGCGACGCCGCGGACGACGGCCGCCAGAGGGGACGCTTCCACCTCGACGCGGACCTCCGCGACCTCATCGCTGGCAGCTGGCGGATGCGAGTACTTAGCGGCACGGCTTTTGTCGATGAATCTCAAAGCCATGCTGGGCCAGAGCTCCGGAACAGAAGACACAGAGAATGTGCGCACAAGTAGCTGCATGGACAACCGATTCTCACGTGATATGACCTCAACACAGGATTACGATGATGTTTTTCCCCTTTGCCGCTCACTGTCTCCGAATCACCAGGGCGCGTCGGCTGGGAAGGACCACGGCATTTCTTGAAACCCGTCGGCGGCTAACTTACGCAGCTGCTCTGACTTGGCTTCTGGCCGGGTCGGAGCGTCGGCCAAATTTAAATGCGATGGCACGTGCCAAAGGTGCAAATAATGACCACGCTGCGCGACTGCAAACCAAAGCTCGCCTATGAGCTCGTTCCAATCAAATTGCCTGGAACAGCCGCGTAAAAGTGCACCCAGCGCGCTTGTGTTATCCACGAAGGCGAGGATTTCAAACTCGCCAGGCAGATAACCCAGCAAAAACTTAAGCGCGCAGAGAGCCGCCATGAGCTCCCAAGTGCCGATCTGATTCTTCCGATGAAGCACCCACTGCCTCGCCTTTGCTGGGACATCAGCAGCAGCCCAAGCCTTTAAACAGGGAGTCTGGATGACCCATGCCATCCGTCCCTGGCCTGTGGCGTCGGTGTAAAGGATGCAACGCTTCTTCTGGCGACGCATCACCGGGACGCTCCTCGATGGCGGTTCCTGTAAGAACCGCAGCCACCAACGCAGACACAATTTGGTGCGCTGGGACAGCCGGCTCTGGTTGCCTGAGCCGTGGTGGTAAATGGCAGCAAGGTAAACGCGCGCGCCTCGGCCGAAGACGGCGGTCGCACCCCAGCTCAATTTGCCTGCTAATTTTAAAGCCCGCGCAGGCGAGAGCGATCTTCGCCGCAGAGCCTCACGAATTTCTGCGGTCCATTTTTCCAACCTCTCTGCTTCGAGCGAAAACTGGATCAGCTGGTTGTGGTCGTCAAATTCTACGCAGACTCCGAGGATTACGGTCTTAGTGGCCTCCGTGACGGCTTTGCCGGCGTCGAGATCCCAGCCCAGCAGTTCTGACACGACTGCTCTTGCCAGGCGCGCAGAGCCGGCGGGGCCGATTAAGCAGTCACTGCCAATATCGCGCCCCTCCAGGGCCGAATCGCCGGCGAACATATCGTCGACAAAACGCAAATATAACAAGTGAAACAGAGCTGCCAAAATGCCTTGAATGGCGAGACCGAAACGATCCCAACCGGACACTGATGCGGAAGAGCCAAATGGTAGGCACAGCAACTGTAACGCTTTACCGTCTGCCACTGTTTCTGGCCAAGCTGTCACTGCTAGCGGCAAGTGGCCGCTGCAAATCGGCAGTGTCTTAAAAGCGTGCCGGAAGTCATCTTTCCTCCACCTCATGGCAATGTGTTGCTTGCCTGCTGCTGCGTGGCGCACTAATGCCACCAAAGTGTCCAGCGTGTCTGGACATGTTCTTTCACTATGTACAACCGCGCCATTCACCGCAGACGCAGTGAAATCGTCTATGCAACGAATTTTTGGCATTCCGTCTTTCTCCCCCTGCACGATAGGGAAGCGAGCTGTTAAAACACAAGAATCTACGTCTAGGTTACGGAAGCGGGCCTTGCCATCTTCGACCTCTTTTGAGCAGGCCGATAAAAATTGAGTCCTAACCCTCGTATCGCCGCCCTTTTCCGCGGCGATTCTACCGAGAGTCGCCTCATTCCGCTCGCGCGGATGTGCTAAAAGCGACCGCAAAGTCTCGGCTGGTTCCGGAGACGTGGCAGCGGGCGCATGGATGCCACTAGCAGGCAGGCGCCCCACCAAAGGGAAGCCATGGCAGAGGTTGTGAAACAAGGTATTATCTGGCCATGCTATAGCCTCGAGCATCTCTTTCAGCAGCAGAAGGTTCTTCTCCGGACCCAGCACTGACTGACAGTGAGCTGGCAAACTTCTAAAGATAGTCTGCCACTGTGGGTCCGTCACTAGCTTCCGATGCTTCCAAAAAGCAAGAGCAGACTGGCGAGCGGTTTGCAGCTCGGCAACCGACATTGAAACCGATCTCGCAAAATGGCCGTTTAAAAATGTTGGCACGCGCGGGCTATCGTCGGCTTCTGGCAAAACCGCCGCCAGGCGGCTGCTGCCCGCCCTGCGGGCGCCGTCCCACGCGGAGAGCGTTCGGTCAGAGAGCCTGAGAAGGCGGCCCCTGCCGACAAGCTCTCAGGCACGTGCCTGCGAGGGAGCGGGCAGTGCCACAGCGCACCAGGCCGTCGCTCGTGCTTTGGCCTGGCTTGGCCCTGCTCCCCGCAGAGACCGAGAGCGCCTCCTGTGGGGCGACCAGAACGGCTGACCCAAGAGACTAGCACCGAGAATACTTCCGCCTCCGAAAACGCAAGCCGGCCCGCCAGGAACCGCTTGCCCGCGAAGCAGGCGCAGAGGCGTGTGAGATGGAGCAGAGGAGGTGAGGCGAACACGCTTGAGCCTGCTCCACATGATTTTCCTGTGCCGGAAACGAGTTTACGCTTCATAAAAAAGAGGCCCCGAAAACGGCTCCAAGAGGGCCTTAAGACGGCCCAAAAGGCTTCCAAGACGCCCAAGATGGCACCCAAGACGACCCTGGAGCACTCCAAGAGGGTCCAAAGTCGGCCCAGAGAGGCCCCCTAAGACTGTTCCGGGCGGCGTCAGGCCGTCCAGGAACGCCTTAAGACGGGCAAAGATGCCCCCGAGAAGCCCCCGAAGGCCCCAGAGATACCCAAGGAGGCCCCCAAGATGCCTCCAAGAAGCCCCCAGAAAGCTCCCTGGACGCCCCAAGAGTGCCCCCAGAGGCTCCCTAGATGCCCCTCCTCCTCCTCCTCTTCCTCCTCCTCCTTCTCCGCCATCCTCCCCCAAGAGTTCCCCGAAGGGTTTCAACGGCTGGGGGAACACATGGCCCGATAGCTTGGCAGAGGTCTTGCCACGACGCTCGGCAACATGGGCGATTCCAGAAGGCAGTGGACGGCGGTGATTCGTCGTAGGCGCCTTCGATCACAGGAACTCCACCACGCCAGGCACGCCTGTGACGAATGAACAGGGGGTGCCGGATCGGAGATGCCTGCGGCGAATCCTCGCCGCCCCTTGCCTTTTCCGAATACGCCTATGTGGCCAAACGTTAGGCAAAGTTTGGCCACGCTTGTTGGATCAGGCGGTCCCCCAGCCGTTGTGGAAGCCCCGCGGGAAACACGTGGGGGAGGAAGAGGAGGATGAGGAGAGGAAGGGCAACTGAGAATGAGGAGAAGGATGGGGAGACCTCTTGGGAGCTTCGTGGGTCATTCTTGGGGCCTCCTGGGGAGTTTCCTGGGGGCCTCTTGGAGGCCTCTTGGGGGCTTCCTTGGGCCTCTTGGGGGCGTTTGGATGCCTCTTGGGAGCTTCGGTGGCCGTATTTCGACGTTCCTGGTCCGTCTGACGCCGTCGGAGGCCGCATTGGGAGCCTCTTTGGGTTGTCTCGGGGCCTTATTGAGGCGCTTCAGGGTCGTCTTGAAGACCACCTTGGGCGTCTTGGAGGCCTCTTGGGTCGTCTTGGGGCCCTCTTGAAGCCGTCTTGGAAGCCTCGTGGGCCGTCGTGGGGCTGTCTTGAAGGCCTCTTGGGCGATCTTGGGGCAATCTTTGGAGCCTCTCGGGTCGTCTTGGGCCACGAGAGGCCGTTTTGAAGCAAATCCAAAATTATGTTAAACACTGAAGGGGCATCACTGACTTTGGCCTCTTCAGGGCTTCCTGGAGGATCTCTTGGAGGCTTCTTGGGCCGTCTTAGGGGATTTTTGGGTGCTTCTTGGGCCGTCCTGGGCTACCTTGAGGCCATCTTAGGCCGTCTGAGGGTGCATCTTGGGCCGTCTTGGCGACATCTTGTGGCCACCTCGGGCGTCTTGGAGGCATCTTGGAGGCCATCTTGGGCCATCTCGGCTGTCCTGGAGGCATCTTGGAGACCACCTCGGCCGTCTTGAAGGCGCGATGTGATGACACATCGTCGGCGGACTGTGCGGCTGGCTCGGCCATCTGGGTGGCTGGCGCAATGCGCCGAAGCCCCACGGGGAGTTCTTAAAGAACCAATCGGGCTGGGCGAAAGGGGGGGATTGGGAAAGGGGGGGTTACGAAATCTGCTGCATGCAGCTGGTTTCGGCCCCACCGAGGGGCCCATTCCTCGATACATGGGCGCCTCCCGGCGCCGGGAGGCGCCGGGAAAATCAGCTACATGAGCTGATTCTCAAACCCCCCCTTTGCCATCCCCCCCTTTCGCCCGACCCGAACCAAAACCATCAGACGTTCAGCACGGCGGATTCCCCTATGATAAGTCAGCAGGGCGCGGCAGGCCCGGCGGCCCCTTCGGCTCTTCCCGCCACCGCTCCTGGTTTGTGGACCGAGGGCAGCGAGGACGATTGAATACCACGCTGCATTCCAACCCATGCTCCAACAAGAGAGCCCCTGCGGGCCGCACCGCTTGCCCGCCGCTGGCCCACCCCGTCCCTCTCCTCCGCTTTCGGATCCGCCCTCGCGGCTCGCTTCCCCTGGCCCTCGGCCCTCCCGGTCTTTCTCTGGTCCTTCTCCGCGCTGTGTCGCGGGGGGCGCCGCACGGTGCCAGACAGCGCGCCAGGACCAGCACGGCTACGAGCGCCACGGCAACATCCGCAACGGCGACCACATCGACGACCTTGACCACCACGACCCAGACCTGGACCAGCACGTCGTCGTCCACGAGCCTCACAAGCGAGCGCGCTCTCTGCCGCACGGGGCTTCGCCTGCCTTCCAGGTGGAGCGGATGAGAGGTCGGAGGATCGCGCCGCACCGCCGAGGCATCGGCGATTCGGCGCGGTCCAGAGCCCGAGGCGATGCGGTGCGATCCTCCCCCCCCCCCCCATCTGCTCCTGCCCACTCTTGGCGCCGGAGCAACGGGATCGGCCGCGGAGCGGTCTTGGAGAGGTCTTGGGGCCTCTTGGAGACATCATGGAGGCCATCTTGAGCCACCTTCCAAAAAGTCTCGAAGCATCTTGGAGGTAAGCTTGAGCTTTCTGGGGCATGATTGGAGCCATCTTGGGCCATCCCGGACGCTCTGACACCTTGCGGGGCTCCCCGTCTAGTTCCAGGAGAAGGGGGGAGGGGGAGGGGCAATTTTCTTCCTGCATGGGAAGGAGGGGTTTGAAGAGGAAACGCTCTAAACCACCTACGCACTAAAAGGCTGGTTGGATTCCTCGTCCGCCTCTCGTGTTTCTCCTCCTGCTCCTCTGCCCCTTTTCACACCTCCACTTCCCGCCTCCCGCCCCTCCCTCTCCTCATCTTCCTTCTCATCCCTACTCTCGTTCTCTTCCTTCTCCCCCCCACACCGCCATGTTCAGCTCTGCCTGCCTCTCCTCCGCCTCGTCCGCTTCCTGGTTCTCGTCGCTGCCCCTCGCCAAGCGGAGCCTTCCCGAGCCAGGCGAGACGACGCGCACGACCACCACCGCATCCAGCACCGCGACCCAGACGAGCAGCACCTCCTCCCGCACGGCGTCCTCCACCACGGCGTCCTCCCGAACGACATCCTCGAGCACGTCGTCGTCCCGATCCGCATCCTCCAGCACTACGGGGTCTAGCGAGACGGCCACGACCCAGACGGCCTCGACCCAGACGGCCTCGAGCCGGACGGCCTCGAGCCAGACACTTACGGCCACGACCTCCACGCGAACCGTCAGTGCTACGCGGAGCACAGAAACGACCAGCACGAGCATCACAAGCACGTCCTGGACGGTGACCGCGACGCCCACGTCCGTCACCTCCGCCACCGTGTCGACGACCTCAGCGTATACGACCTCCCGCACCAGCAGCACGCCCTCGACCACGACGGGGACGCTCACGGACACCAGCCGCACCACTGCCACCAGCAGCACGCCCTCGACCACGACGGGGACGCTCACGGCCACCAGCCGCACCACCGCCACCAGCAGCACGCCCTCGACCACAACGAGGACGCTCACGGCCACCAGCCGCACCACCGCCACCAGCAGCACGCCCTCGACCACAACGAGGACGCTCACGGGCACCAGCCGCACCACCTCAAGCAGCCTCACTGCCACGACAACCGCCACGGCCACCAGCGCCTCGTCCACCAGCGCCTCGTCCACGAGCACCTCGCGCAGCTCGGCCACCGCCTCCAGTAGCACGGCGACCAGGACGGCGTCGCAGACGCCCACCAGCGCGACCGCCGCGAGCACCGCCGTGACCTCGCCCATGGCGCCCGCGCCGTCCGCGGGCACCTGGCCTGCGGGGCCGGAGGGTACCGCGCCGTCCACGACCACCGCTTCGCCGCCGCAGGACGCGCCCGCCGACCTCGAGACCGTCGCGGGCGTCATGGAGCTTCAGGTCGGCGACGCCGCGGCTTTCGTGGAGGACGACCTCGCGCGGCGGGCCCTCGAGGCGGCCATCGCCCTGGCCGCGGGCGTGGCCACGTCGGCCGTGAGCGCGGCCATGGAGCTGGGCGGGCGGCGCCTCAGCCTCGGCGCGGGGGTGCCCGTGGTGCGAGTCCTCTACACCGTGCTGGTGTCGGCGGACCGGGCCCAGGAGGCATCGGCCGATTTGTCCCAGGGCGCCGAGGGCGCCAGCTTCGCCAGCCTCCTGCAGGAGCAGCTAAGCGCGGCGGGCGTGGGCGAGCAGTACGGCGACGTCGCCGTGCTGAGCTCCAGCGCGGCGGTTGCCGGCGCGGCGACGACGCCGGCCCGGATCTCTCAGGAGGGCCCCGACGCAGCACTTCAGGACGAGGAGGAGCACAACGATGATGCCTCCCTGGGCTCGGTCGCTCTGGTGCTGGGCTCGCTGGTGGCCGTCGCGTACTGCTGCGCGACTCTGGCCTGCTGCTTGTTCGTGCAGCGGCGGCGCGTGGAGGCCGCGGAGCGGCGGCGGGACCTCTGCGCCAGGCCGCCCGCCGCGGAGGAGGTGCACAGCGCGCTTGCATTTGCCGCCGACGCCGCCCAGCCGAAGCCCGGCAGCCCGCCGGTCGCGGGCAGCCCCCTCGCGCTGCCGGAGGTGCTGCCCCGCGCCGAGCTCGGGCTGGACGACTACGACGACGAGGAGCTCCTGGAGATGGGCTGCCCGCCAGCGGGGTCCCCGCGCAGGCCCCTGCGGCTGGTGTTCCCGGGCCCAGAGGACCACGGGCCCGTCCAAGTCGAGCGCGTCGCTCGGCTGCGCATGCGGTCAGGGGCCCTGAGCTCGCGTGCCGCGTCGCCAGTTCTGGCCCACCACGCTCTGGCGCGACAAGCTGTCCACGTCCCAGTCCCCGAGCGTCAACGTCCCGAGCCTTTCCCAGCCTCCCGCCCTGCGGAGCGGAGCGACACGCGATCCGCTCGCAGGGCATAGCGTGTCGCCAAGGCCGCCGCCGCGACACGCTTAACAGAAGTTCCCGACCGTAAGATCTGGGAAGCCTGAAGGCTCGAATTTGCCGATACTCAGGTTTGCAGCTGCTCTTTTGACGGTCCCAGCATGAGCTTCAGCCCAGCTCCCGTGGGATGCTAGCTGGCAGTAAGAGCTCGCGTCAAATTTCAGACTTCGTCCCGCTATTGTTCCTGACGGTCCCGTGACAAACTCGAATATTACGTTTCCCCGATAAGAGTGATCCTTGGCCAGGGCGTCCCGTGGTGTGGTCCCAAATGGGCTGCTCCAGCCCTGGCAGACGCGCGTGGAATTGCCCGCCCCCCCGCGGCCCCCCAGAGCCGCAGACCAAAAGTTTCCTTCTTGCGCAAGGCCACTCTTGCGTTCAGCCGAGTCTTCATGTGTCCCCCCTCAACTCGCACCCCCCCGCTCCCCGCGGGCATTCGGGGGTCTCCGCCAGATGCCTCCGAAGGCTCCCCCAGAGGAGGCCCCAAGCGCCCAATCACCTGGATGCTCCTCAGTCGTCGATGTCCTCCTCCTCCTGCTCCTGCTTCTCATCCTCCTCCCGTTGGTATCTCTCTGACTCGTCAGTTGGCTCCCTCCCCCCCTCTGCACCCGCGAGCCGCGCGGTGCTCGGCTCTGGCGCGGCACGCTTGAGCCCACCCGCCCGGCCCTGGGAGGCCTGCGGTAGCGGCACCCTCTCGAGGTGCGCGCCGATGGGCAGCAGCAGGAAGAGGTGAAGGGAAGCAGGGGACCAATCTCTCAAAACCAAGGCTCCCAAGAGCGAACGGTGCCACAAGCCATCTCGGGCTCATTTCTGATGCGCGCTCTCCGATACCGTGCCAGCCCAGGTGTCTAAGGCCCCCTATCTCCCCTCAGGACCAGGGCCCCTCCGCCTCCAGCGTGTCCGTGACGGTCCACAGCAGGCTGGCCCGCTTCGGCAGGCGCGGGGGGCGCCAGCTCCGTGCACGGACAGACACCGGTCCTGGCCGGGCGCCAGTCCTGGGCCCTCCTGGCCAAGCCATGGCCTCCTCCTCCTCCTCCTCCTCCTCCTCCTCCTCCTCCTCCTCCTCCTCCTCCTCCTCCTCCCAGGGTCAGCCTGGCCAGGATCGGTGCGGGTGTGCAGTCGGTGTCCTCCCACAGGCAGGGCCCGCACGAGGGGCCGCGCGGCTTGAAGCCGAGCCCTCGCATGGCGCCTCGCGGCGCGGGCGTCTGCCTGACGCCGAGCCCGCGCAGCGAGGCCGCGGGGAGGACAGAAATCGACGGCAGGTTCGAGCCGCGTTCACACGGCGGCGACCCCTGCGCGGGCTGGCAGAGGTTGCACAGCGCCAGCGGCTCAGGTTCGGCCAGGTTCGAACGATCTGCACTAGCGTACAGACGGAGCCGTTCGAGGTTGAGCGATCCGCGCGGAGTCGGAAATCAACGCCGACGTCATTGTGACGTGAACACTCCATGCCTCGGCACCGCACCCGAATAGTAACACGACGACGACGCTGACGGCGACGCTGACGGCGACGGCGATAGCAACAGCGACGGCGACGACGACGGCGTCGGCGACGGCGACGGTGGCGGCGGCTGCGGCAGCGGCGACGGCGACGGCGACGGCAACGACGGCGGCGGCGGCGGCGACAGCGACGGCGACGGCGACGGCGTCGGCGGCGTCCACGGCAACGGTGACGGCGGCGGCGAAGACGGCGATGGCGGCGGCGACGACGCCGACTTCGTCGCTTCGGAGGTTTCTGGGGCGCTTCTGGGGGGCACTGGCTGCCGCTGCCGGACCGCAGCTCGGAAACATATCGCCACTAGATGGCCCTTTTTGAGAGACCCTGGCCCTGGGCGCAACATGTGCAATGTTATAGGATGGCTGAAAAGTTGTAAATCGAGATTTCAAACAATGTCTTTTGGATGACAGGATTGAACGCTTGCAGTCTCAATTCAAAACTTTTCAAATCGTGATTCCAATATTTCCCAACCACCCTGTGGTGTTGGGTCCTCGTTTTGAAGAGACGGTCCCCGCGTGCTCCTTCCTTCCTTCCTGCCTTCCTTCATTCATTCCTGCCTTCCTTCCTTCCTCCTCCCGCCCCTCCTCCCGCTCCTCCCTCCTCCCATCACCCCTCTTTCTTTGGCACACACTTTCGTGCCCCCATAGGGGGCTCTACCGAAGGCACCAGTGCTACCGTCCACATGCGTCCCCCGCACCGATTTCGGCACACCCCTCAAACGATTTGTGACCCCATAGGGAGCTCCACCGAAGGCCTCGGTGCCACCGTCCACATGCGTCCCCCACACCCATACTGGCACACGCCTCACACGTTTTGTGGCCCCATAATGAGGAGCTCCACCGAAGTCCCCGATGCCACCGTCCACAGGCGTCCCCCACACCCATGTGGGCACACCTCTCACACGTTTCGTGGCCCTTGAAGGAGCTCCACCGAAGGCCCCAGTGCCACTGTCCACAGGCGATTCCTACACCCATGCCGGCACACCTCTCACACGTTTCGTGGCCCCATCCACCGAAGGCCCCACTTCCACCGTCCAACAGGCGTTTCCTACACCCATGCCAGGCACACCTCTCACACGTTTCGTGGCCCCATAGGGAGTTCCACCGAAGTCCCCAGTGCCACCGTCCACATGCGTCCCTCGCACCCATTTCGACACACCCCGCACAAGTTGCGTGGATCCATTGGGGGCTCCACCGAAGACCCCAGTACACCTCTCACACGTTTCGTGACTCCATAGGGTGCTCCACCGAAGACCCCGATGCCACGGTCCACATGCGTCCCCCGCACCCATGTCGGCACACCCCTCAAACGATTTGTGACCCCATAGGGAGCTCCACCGAAGGCACCAGTGACACCGTCCAAATGAGTCCCCCACACCCATACTGGCACACGCCTCACACGTTTCGTGGCCCCATACCCAGAGGGCCTGGATGGCTAGACATGCCTAAGCCTTAAGCATGGCCCGGAGAACATCCCTAGAGCCCGGACAAAATGTTAAATTCCCTACAAGAAAACCACCCGATACCACCGATAGCGAACATTCAACCATGTATACGCCCATGGACCTCGGATTTTTACCTTCAACCCTGGCGTTTCCTGTGGTGCGCGCGTTCCGTGCACGTGTGCGGACGGCGGCGAGCGCGCAAGAACGCGTGTCGTCTTCGAATGCCACCAGAACTGTGGTTGCTCGCAGTCGCTGGAGGCAACACTGCAACCCGACGGAATGGGCAAATACAGCGCCAAAGTCTGAACTATCCTCCTCCTCCTCCTCCTCCTTCTCCTCCGCCTCCTCCCCCTCCTCCTCCTCCTCCGTCCTGCTCCTCCTCTTCCTCCTCCTGCGTCCTGCTCCTGCTCCTGCTTCTGCTCCTCCTCCTGCTCCTCTTCCTCCTCCTCCTCCTCCTCCTCTTCCTCCTCCTCCTCCTCCTCCTCCTCCTCATCCGTCCTCCTCTTTTTTTCTCTCCCTGCGCATCCGCTGCCAGGGTCGACCCTGGCGCTCGCTTTCCTGCGCGCATGGCGCGGACTGCAACGCGCGCGCAGCCGCTACCGTTTCCGAGTGGTCCGCGTTTCCTCCTCCTCCTCCTCCTCCTCCTCCTCCTCCTCTTCCTCCTCCTCCTCCTCCTCCTCCTCCTCCCCCTCCTCTCCTCGATCCAACCGTCCCCCTCCTTTTCCTTCCGTTCCTTTCTTGCTCATTCTTTCTCCCCCTCCATCGTTCGTCCTTCCTCCTTCCTCTTCCTCTTCCTCTTCTTACTCTTCCTTTGCCTCTTCGTATGCCTCCTCTTCCTCCTCCTCCTCCTCCTCCTCCTCCTCCTTCCTCTTCCTGCTCCTGCTCCTGCTGCTCCTCCTCGCCCTCCTCCTCCTCCTGCTCCTCCTCCTCCTCCTCCTCCTCCTCCTTCTTCTCCTCCTCCTGCTCTCGCTCCTCCTCCTACTCCTGCTCCTGCTCTCGCTCCTCCTCCTCATCCTCCTCCTCCCCCGTCCATCCGTTATAAACGCGCATGTCTCAGCTGTTCTTCCTCCTCCTCCTTCTCCATCCCTTTTGCTCTTTAGATCGGCGAGATCCCATGGCTTCTTTCGATTATTTCGAGTGGCGGTGGGTCGAATTTGTTCCGACCCACGGCTATGTCCCCCAGTGGGTCGTGCCGCGATGGGTTCCTCCCGATCCCCGCCAGCCACATGCCGATTCCGCCCCCAGCACTTTCACGCTGCCTAGCGATATGGATGCCGATGAGCATGATGGTGGTGAGCCCGAGGATGCTGAACCATGAGGCCATTCGGGTGTATGACCAGAGGAGGAGTCTTACCGCGCCTCCTCCTCCTCCTCCTTCTCCTCCTTTCTCCCGTTTTTCTGTTCCTGCTCCTCCTCCCCCTCCTGATCCCCCCTCCTCCTGCTACTGCTCCTGTTCCTGCTCCTCCTCCTCCGCCTCCTCACCCCCATCCTCCTCCTCATCCCCCTCCTCCTGTACCACCTTCTCCCCCTCCTCCCCCTCCTCCTTCTCCTGCAGCTGTTGGCTCAATGGAAGTCGACTGGAGCTGCTCTGGCCTTCCTGGGCCGCAGCCCGACGAGCCAATTCTATGGCCCCAGTACACCGATGGCGAAGTGCCAGGCACCTCCGCGCCACTCTCTGGTATAGAGCTTGGCTACTATCAGGTGCCGCCTGGGCTCTGCTGCACCGAGCCCGTCCACCCAACGTGCCCAACGATGCCGCTTTTCGGCGCGGACGCGTTCCCGGAGTGGGCGCCCCACCGCCTCGAATTGCCACAGCCCGACATGCAGCCGACGATGTGGCACTTTTACCCATGCCACGGCCTCCCAGAGCTTTGGCTCGTTCCGATTTGGAACCCGGGCGAGAGAATGATAGCGGACCCTGTCCACTTGATGATGATGTGGCGGGACGAGACGAAGGACCCTGCAGTGCTGTTCGTGTGGTACGAGCTGACCACGAATGGCATCATGAAGCCTGTGCCTGCGCAGCCGCCCCCTTGAGCAAGGACTCTTGGGTATGCAAACAAATCCTCCTCCACCTCCCCCTTCTCCTCGTCCTCGTCCTCCTCCGCCGCCTCCTCTTCCTGGAGAAGAAGAAGGAGGAGGAAGAAGAGGAAGAGGAGGAGGAGCAGCAGCAAAAGAGGAGGAGGAGGAGCAGGAAGAAGAGGAGGAAGAGGAGGAGGAAGAAGAGGAGGAGGAGGAGGAAGAGGAGGAGGAATATGTCTCGATGACCATTCGCGACGTGCGGCAACCGCTGCAGCGAGATTGCGTGATATAGCGTGAGGTAGCGTGATATAGCGTGAGATCGTGGAACGAACGCGTGAGATAACATGCAACTTGCCATTGGCATCGAACTCCCCGTCAACAGTAGCGTGAGAGCCGCAGGATAGCGTGAGATGTGGCACGAGCGACGGCGTGAAATGGCGTGAGATAGCGTGAGATGGCGAATCGACGTAACATCGCGTGAGACAGCGTGAGATGCCGACATACGAAGCCGATGTCCGCAGCCGTTGGGTTGCAAGTTGTAAGCATGGCTTCACCCTCTGCGGCCCCCGAGGGCCCCCCGCGGTCGCCGACCGCGCAGCGTGATGCGATCTTCCACGCAGTGTCGGCGTCGATGTCTGGCGAAAACATCGTGAAGTGCGAGGCCAGCAAGCAACTCTTCGCGGTGGCGAAGAACGACGCGGCTGGCCACCCGAAGGTCAACGGCATCGTCGTTATCGTCCGTCCTCCTTCTCTTCTGTCCTCCTCCTGAACCTCGTCTTTCCTCTTCCTTGTGGTGCTGCTGCTGCCCCTTCTCCTCCTCCTCCTCCTCCTCCTCGTTTCTCCTCCTCCTCCTCCTCCTCGTTCCTCCTCCTCCTCCTCCTCCTCCTCCTCCTCCTCCTCCTTGTCTTTCCTCGTGCTTCTCCTCCCCCCTGCCTCCCGTTGCTTCATCCCTCATCCGATTGTCCCTCCTCCCCTTCCCAGAGGTGAACTCAGAGGACGTGCTCAGGAACTTCGAGGTGGTCAAAGCCGTCTTGGAAGCGCTCCAAGGCAGATCCACCACCTCTTCTCAATCCTGAATCCTGCTTCTCTCCTCCTGCCATTATTTTCCTCGGCTCTTCAGAGGCGCGCAGCCGATCAGCGACTTGCGTGCCCAGGCCGTCCACCGCTTCGACGACGCCAGCGGCTATGCACTGAGCAGGCGTGTGATTTTTGTTTGCGATGGGGTGAGATCGATTGCGTGAGATCTATAGCGTGAGATCGACAGTTTGAGTT